CCCCAAAACCCCAAAACCCCAAAACCCCTCTAATTTCCCCCACTATTGAAACACCCCCATTTCCACTCCCATAACCCCTCCTGCACTATGCTTAATCCACATGCCAAAAATTTCCCAAAATCCCCACACAGCTAAGCACCCTCAAAAAGTCAAGCACACCCAAAAAAATTCACCGCTATGTAGCCCCTAAAGTCACGAAACCCCCTAAAAGAATCAAGCTGGTCACGTTCACAGGTGACTGATATTTGGATAGCTTGGATGGGAAATTTTGTACGCTGAAGAAGGTGTTGAAGTATCTAGTGAAGAAGTATCAGGTGGAGAAATGTAAGATTAAGGATATTGTGTACAGGTATTGTTTGGTGAGGGAGGGGAAGATAGTTGTTAGAGCAGTGGAGGAGATCCAGGATGATGAGGAATTGGTGTTGGTTAGGAGAAGTGTGACTGAAGCTGATAGAGTGAGGATGAGAGAGATTTTTGGAGAGGTTGAGCAGGTTGATGTTGGACCAGTCGATTTGGACCTGAATCGAGGTCTACATGTGCTGGATAGAGTTAAAGAGGTGCCAGAAGGAGATCGACAAGCTGATGATATCAATGTAAAGAAGGTTAGTGAAGATGAATTAGAGATAAATGAAAGAGTTTTAGGCCACATAGACCCCAATGATAAAACTTCAAGTGATATCGAACTTAAAATTAAGAAAATCAGTATCCCAAGCAACCAAATAAACAAATCTACATCCCTTTCTACCCCTCTCTCAAAGCCTTCAAATTCCTCCAAACCTCCAAAATCCTTCAAACCTCAAAATTCCCTTCTCACACTCACAATCCTCAAATCCAGCCTTACAGACGCTCTCTTCACCCCTCCTACTCCTCCTCTCCCTCCTCCCTCCATCCCTCTGGCTCCATCCCTCAAGCAAGAGCCAGCCTCCTCTTCATCCAAAGTCCCTCGCCCACATGCTCTGCCTTACACTTCCTTCATCACAAAGAAGCTGACCGTGAGTCAGCAGCTTCGAGCTTCCAAGCCACAATCCCTTCTCTACACAACCTACGTAGGCCAGCACCATAACAAATATGTGCTATGAAGAACACCGAATTTTCAAGATTTTATTGAGGTTTTTAAGTATATCAAGGATAGGTATTCTTTGGAGAATTATGTGAAGAAAATTTCGATGCAGAAGGGGTTTAGAGTGATAGAAGGGAAGGAGAAAGGAGTGACGAAGAGGGAGTTTAGGTGTGAGAAGGCAGCTGATGAGGAGGTGAAATGTCCGTTTGAGGTGAGGTTTAAGAAGTTGCATCTTGATGAGTTTCAGATGGAAAAGAGGTATTACTTGGCAAGTTATAGGGATTTACACAATCATCCACTAGATTTTGAGCTTAAGAAGAGTGATATGAGGAATGAAAATAAAAATTCGGTTGAGATTCGAGAGACCCTTGATTTCTTAGATGAAGAGGAACTTCCAAAATATTTTGAACTAATTGCAAAGCTATATGGTAAAGAGATCCTTCATCCCAAGAAACGAGACAAAAAGAACATTTCTAAGGAATTACAAGATACCTTAAATTGCTCATCAAATGTCCTTACTGAGTATTTCAACACCTTATGTATAAAAACTCAGGCTAAAAGCCCAAAACAAATCCAACACAGCTACAATCCAAATCCTCTAAAAACACCCTACCATCGCCACTCCTCGTCTGCTCGATTCTATGCCATTTCCCTCCCATCTAAAACTTCCACTTCTCATAACTTAACTTTGCATGATATAAACAAGTCGAAAAGTTACGCCAAAGAGAAAGATGATGAAGTAGTTGAGATTAAAGTGCTAAATAAGAAGAAAAGAAAAAAATTAGCTCCTGTACGTAAGCTAGATTGGAGTCATTCAAGCGGTGACTATAATTTTGAATAAATCTATAAGCTATTTTAAAACATATTTGTCATTCTTTAAGGGGCTGGACATTTGGAAAGCTTCTCTATCAATCATCTGCTTTATTTAGGAAAGAGACACAATAAGAATATGAGAATAGTTTGATTAATAAGCGACATCATTAGTATTATGCTACAAATTATATTAACAAAAAGCCGGGTTCATTCTTCAACAAATCAGTTTACCAATAGCTCCATTCCTTGGGCTTTAAGTTTCTCAGAATTTCAATTTTTAACTTAAATATAGGGGTTTTGGGGTTTTGGGGTTTTGGGG